TTCCCTACAAGTCAGAGGTGCAAAGCAACAGGTACAGCTAGTAATGCAAAGCTGCCATCTCAGCTGCTTTGTTGTGGCCTTTTCCTAACAGGGACTGCCCACATGGACAAGGGGCTGTGCAGTGAGTGACGCAGCTCCAGCCCAGCTCTGAATGCCATGGGCTCCCCAGCACTCCCCCATCCCATTGCCCAGGATGATCACCGGGCAAGCCACAACCCTTTCTCTGCCGGAGCTGGCTGCGTCCCAGGGAGGCGTGGGGCAGCGGATGGGGTTCATGGCACTGCACGGCTGCTCCCAGCTCTTAACTGCTCACACCACCAACAGGCGGGCAGATCTTTTTGCAGAGGTTGTACGGGTCAGGTCTGAGATTTCACGACAGGGCATCTACCTGCGACCACCCCCACCACCAAAGAAAAGACGCTTGTGGTGTTTTAACACACCTCAGCAGGGAGCAGTCTGTTGGGTAAACCCAGCACTGCTGCGGGACGGGAGGAGGAGGAGGGATCCCAGAGCATTTTGGAGCAGTCCCCTCCCCAGAAATAGTCCAGAATCACTGAAGAGAGATAGCAAGTGCAAAGCTCTCAGCCTGGCATGCCAGCCAGGACTATTTTTGTCCCCCCTCTGAAACCGGAGTCAGTGGCACCAAAGGGGAGAAACAAAGATCCTGCTGCTCAGGGATGTGCAGAAACAGAAGGGGCTAAATTTAGCCTCAAGGAACTGCGCTTCGGGCTCCCCTAGTATGAAATGGAGGCTGCTATAAACAGCGTTTTGCAAAACAGCCCACCTCCTGCCTCCATGCTGCCACCCTGACGAAGAGGGCAAGAATCTGCCTCCTGGAACACAGCTGCTCTCGCAAAAATAGGCAGAGCATCATGTGTGCCTGCACAGCCAGGCACCTTCTGGGTACTCTGCAGCAAACTGTCTGGAGAGGGCTGGCCCCCTCAGCTCTGGCTTGGTGTGGAGACCCGGAACCATTGTCCCACTGGACACACGGCTCGGCAAACTGTGCACACCATCTGGTGGGTTTTTTTTAAGAGGAAAAACAGGGCAAACTTAATTCTACCATCACACAGTAACTCCTTTTGACATCTCAGTGTCATCAAAACTTCTGGGTTTTAGTTTTAGAAAGTTTCATATCTCAGTCATGCTTTATTACAAGTTTGAACTTTAAATTAAATGGTGCATGCAAACACAGCATTATATATTGTAATACAGCATGTATGCACACACCAACCCTTACCCTGTCCAGTGGCACGGCCAAGGAGAGCACCTCCCGTGGCAAACTAGTAAATCACGCTCCGAACCACAAACGTGATGATTTATTTCCAGCTCTGCCACAACTGTGAGTATGTAATTTACCATCTCTGGCTCACAGTCAATGTAAGTAGTGTCTTCACTTCACAGCGTGTTACAAGTGAAAATATGTTTAATGTGTTTGAGATCACATCAGATTGAAACATGATTAGCTCAGACCAGAAGCTGAAAACTCAAAATGCGTGAAATACCTCCATCTCCTGTGGAGCACTGCTATTACCTGCTGTGCTAGCCAGGTGGGTAGCCAACGCTGGGCTGGGGTACGTTTGAAGTTGCTAAATTGCTCTTCCTGATAGCACTCAATTTACTCTTTTCATTTACTTCTTTCAAGGAGAACTCTTTTTTTTTTTGCTAAAAATACCACCTCAAGTTTTATTAAATGGACAGATTTAACACAAGCTCTTTCTCAGAGAGGCATGTGGATCAGTAAGGACGCAGCTTTGAGAAAGAACTCAGTTGGGAAACATGCTCACATGCGCCTATTTTCATGCGCTTCTTTTTTGATGCGGGGCAACCAGTAGTGCCAACAGTGCACAAACAGATCTTCTGCTGCAGGGGGACCATGGTACAGCAGGAGACACAACAGCAGAAAAAAGCTGCTGAGAAGCTCCTGGAACCCAGATGCAAGGACTGACCGGGCCACATCCCATGTCAGATGATATTCAGAGTGCTAATGGGAGCAGGAAAGTCCTTTGGATAATGTGACATGTCCCAGGAGAATAGGAAAAGATGCCAGGAGGAGAAGAAAGAGAAGAGGCAGAGCAAACCCCTTGCTCACAGGCCCCAGGGCCACGCAGAGCAAGGGTGCAGCAGCCACCACAGGGCATGGTGCAGGAAGACAGAAACATGCAAGCTGCAGGAGGCTGGGAAATGAGGCTGGGGTTGTCAAGAAGTGATGAAGACTAGACGGGAACTGTTGGGATCATCACAGCTGAGGGGACCTGTGGAGTTTCTCTGTACCAAGATGAAGTTCAGAGTGTAGGGATGGAGCATGAAAGGCAATGGTGGAAGACAGAGCGCAGCCTGCAGAGCTCACAGGACGACAGGGCAGAGGAGGAACAAGAGAGGACAGAAGATGAGGTCTTCCCCAGAGCTTGATACAGCTGCAGTGGGATGGGGACGGAAAGAGGCTGCACAGTGGTACAGCCTCTGTCCATCACCTAACAACATATCAGGCGGTACCCAAATCAGCAAGCACATGGACCTCTTGGGCACACCCCAGTTTATTAGCCAGCCTGGGCTGGGGCTAGACAGCAGAGAGGGCAGATCCACCACCCCAATGGTGTCAAAATGAAGTCATGCTTAGCAATGGGGGTCAGACACAACCCTTCTGCTGTGTACCCACTGTGTCTTCATCGTGACACACTCAGTGTGGCGCAAAGGATGACCATACCTCTCTTTTCACCCGTGAAAGGAACCAAGTCTTCTCTGTCTTTAACATCCTTTGCCTGCTTTTCTAGGTGTGCCATGAGTTCCTCCCTTTTGAATGGGCCAGTTGGTGGCTTTTGCGTCTGATCCCGCTGCCTGAGCCCTGCTGGCAGCAATGCGTTCTAGGCATGGAGGGGAGAAACACAGGTTATCTCTGCAGGCCACGATCCCCACCCATCAAACGCTCTCCCCTCTCCACTTTCCTCATTGCACTGTCTTTCTTCCACATTGCTTGACAATTTGCTTCTCATGTCAAAGGTTATCTCCATCCAACCCCACTGATTCCCACATCATCTAAGACACATGATCTCCTTCCCCCCTCCAGTTTCAAAGGCTGGCTCCACTACAAGATCTCCATGCTGCCAAGTGGGTTTCTCTACAACAGCAGCTCCAGCCCTTTCTCTGGGGGCTCTCAGCCATCACCTCCTGCTCCTCCTAGCCTCTTCCCACACTCTCACCATTTCTGCTGCCTCTTTGCAACAGTTGCAGTGCCAGAACCAAGCTGCTAAACTCAACCCCTCTTCTCCTCCCTATATGTGTCTGTCCGACTGCCCACATGCCCCACATGTCCCAGCAAGAATCAGTTCAGGAAAATCCCATGGCCTTTCACAGAGCAGACCAGAGAGGGGTGGTGGTCTCTTCTGCCTTTCGTGATCCATCACAAAACTACATTCAGGGTCTCACAGAGAAGGTCACTCCATTGCAGAACAAAGCCCCTGCGAACCTCAGCCCTTTTTCAAACTGCCTCCTTGTTATTCAGTCACGTTAGCCACCATGGGAAGTTGCTTTGTGCCTGACACATACGGCACGTAAGCACCTGCTTATATGTAAATATAGAACAGTCTTAATGCAGTAAGACTATTCCCAGATTTGACACTAAGCATGTTCTTTAAAGCTTTGCTGGATAGAAGTCAACATTTACTTTTTAAGACATTCAAGGTGATTTTGAACAACGCACTGATTCTCCCATGCCCGCCTAATAAAAGTAATTCATTATCATTTAAATCTGTATCAGTGAAAAGCCTGGGGAGGAAAATGACTAATAGGAAGCAATTAGACTTGGGCAACCTTGGAGGGGAACAGAGGAGAACTGTGCTAATGCACAAGCAGGGAGGCATAGGAAACAGCTTGCTTCCTCAGGCTTCATGCTGTGAGAGGTGACCATGCAATCTTTATGCTTTGACTCCTGTACTCAGGCTACACCTGTACTGACAGATGTTCGTGATTATTCTACCTTTCTGCATCTTTCACAGAATGCTGCCTGACTCTGTGTCTTCTGAGGCAGCTGTAACCAGCCCATCAGCCCATACGCTTAATGCTGGGATCTAGCCTGCCACCTCCTAATTATTTTCCTGTGTTGCAGTTAAAAATACTGATGATGCAATCTACACTGCTCATCATTTCCCCCAGAAACACTAACTGCATGTTGCAGGAACAATTTCTCACTCGGCAGTGCCCAGCCTCACCATCTAATGTTGCCGTAACCCAGAGGACTGCCAGTTGGCTCTGCACATCCCCTGCTAGGGCCACAGGACAACGTTGCCTCCAACAAGTTTTCATTGCTTGGCTCTAGCAGGCCCAGTGTTTGCATATGCACAGCTCCTACTGATGCTGGGAGGTTGCTAAAAAGCAATTGTTCCATTTTGCAAAACTCTGGGATTTGGATTTCTGCCTAAACGGAGGAAAATACAGACCATTTGAAGTTTGCTACGAAAAAAAACCCAAACAACCCACAAACCCCTACACATTCCCTCCAAGGTGGCCCGATCAGAAGCAGAGATCCAGTTTCTGCAGGTTTACTGCCCTGCACCAGCACTGGCTCACATCGGTGCTGCAAATCACAGTGCTTGTCACACCGGAGCACGCACACCAGGGCAAGGGCAGGGGATTATCGCAGAAACAAAGTTCCACATGTAGCCCGCGCTTGTGATGGGAAAACTGCTTCTGCTCATCTGTGGACAGTCTCTTCCATCCTTGCACTGAGTACAGGCTCTGCAAAGGATCCCACTTAAATACAGATTACTAATGCAGCCCATTCCCCCACAACTACTGAGATTTACCATCTAGCAAATCTCATGTAAAAATGACTTACATCAGGATCCAGCTCCTCCAGTTCATTCTCTAACTTCCTGAGCTCCTCCTCTGTCAGGGCTCCAAGGATCTTGTCTTCATCCAGGTCTCGATATTTTTCTAGCTCCTTTCTGTAAGACATCTTGGAGGAGTCTCGTGAATTTCACTTTTATGCCGAAACAGGACCTGAAATGAAAATAAGAAGTGTAATTCTGAATACATGAAACATGACGCTGCAGCCTGGCTGGTCGGGAAATGCTGAATACCACAGAGTTGCAGAATATTTATGCTTAAAGCATAGCTGACTTCAAAGCCAGGTCAGATTGCTCAGGGCCCCCCTGTCCATATCCTACATGCAAGTAACGGCCCATGGTCATGAGAGCGGCAGAACTTCAGTAGCACATTGCCCCATCACAGACTTACAGGGCAGCACTGAGGAAGTACTTTGGACAGGATGGTGGCTAGAGATGTCTTTCTCCAAGCTGTTCTCGATGTTTCCTAGGCATTTATTTCCTTGAAGGAACAATAAACCACAAATCATAAAGTCTGCAGCTCTCATGCCCTTTGTAAGGGCCCCCAGTAACACCTCCCTGCACATGGCAGTCCAGATAACGTTGTCACCAGGTGGGAAAACAGATTTGTAGCATCACTGAGTCCCTCTGAGCCCTGCAAACCTCCACGAGGCTGCAGTGCGCAGCACTCCTTCCTGTGTTTTAAAGCCACAAGTTGATCAGGAAGTATTATCCACTCGTGTTCAGAAGGCTGCCAGTTAAACGTGCTGTTTAGTGACCCTTCTTCCCTGAGACAACACGTGTTTGCACTGCTGCAAGCTAAGCAGCTGACCTGAGTGTTACTGCACGTCTAAACCAACCCTTCAAGAAGAGAAGTGGGAGTAACGTACTAAATGACCTATCCGGATAATCCCTGCTGACCCAGGGGGTTGTCCCATGTCTCCTAATATAAAATGCCATACACAATCACACGCACATAACTGGACCTCTGCCAGCTCTAAAAGACTGTAGTAGGCCTTCTACAAAGGTCAACTTGTTTAAAATATGCAGGTGGGTTAAAAATACACTCACTACAACACACAAGAGTGTATCCAACTCTGCTTTTTTGCCCAAAGTGTCCTTCTGTTCCATAGCACTGTCTGTATATTTACATATTTTGGCTCAATTTTTGCAGAGAATATTGAACTCTAGATAATTTAAAGCAACTTTTCCTACAGTTTAAAAAAAAGTGTTGCTATTCTCTCAAGTGGCATTTACATTAAAGTAACAGCAAGGCCTATGCATTTTTCAAGGAGCCAAACATCTTTTGAGTTTCTATAAATGGTCTCTTTTCAGCTTCTGCGGAGCGTCAGAGCCCTATCCCGAGTCACATTTCTCCAGCTTTGCTCATCCTCTCAGGGCAGATCATGCTCTTATGATTGCTCTTCATTAGTGGAGAAGTCTCTTTATACAACTTGCAATGCAGCTGCTGTTTCAGATAGGAAAATTATCTTTAGCTTGGTCACAAAAGGGCACATTAACGCACGCATGGCTCAACAGCAAGCCCTTAAATTTAGAGCCGTCATCTGGTCAGACGTTTGGTTTCCCACTGCTGTGATGGCAGTTCCTGCATCACTCGCATTCCTGTCACTCGCCACTTAGGAGGTGGAGCGCCAGGAGACGGTGCCTTCTTGATAGGAGGAACAGCCTCCCATGCTCCCACAGCCGGGAGCTGAGAGGCTGAAAACCAGCTTTTCGGCGGGCTGGTTTGCTCTGTACAGTGACAGTCAACCTGCAGGCACTAGGGTCGAGGGCAGTGGGAGGGTGAAGGAGGAAGCATGGGCTATGGGGCTTGGTGGGTTTGGCTAAGCAAGGCGGTGGGGACCCCAGCACTCCTGCACTTTACCAATCCCCTGCAGCAGTCAGTGCAAGGCACCTCGAGACGCAAGACTGATGTGCGGCAGCCACGCAACTGTGCACCGGTCAGGCTACGAGCCATGTCCAGCAGCTCAGCCCCAGCAAGGCTGCCCTTCTGGTCGGCGTAGAAAAAAGCAGAGCCTTTATCACAATTATCCATGAACAAATGCTTGTCGTTACAGCAATTATTATTACTCTGATGCAGGAGATCCTAGAAAAGCAGCCTGGACCCGGATCTGGAGATGTGCTGTGCCACTGCGACCTTAGAGAAGTACATGAACTATGACTAGTTTGTATTTCATATTCAATTTTTAGTTTTGACTGTTCTGCTGTGGAAGGAGCTGGAGTGAAGAGCAGGCAGGAAGGCAGAGGATAACCCACCCCAGGGTGCTAAATTCCCTGTAACGGCTTAAAATACTCACACCTACCATGGCAATCCCCACCTTGGCTATGCGGGGACGACTGCTCTCAGAGGCAGCCACAGCCCCTTCCTAGCAATCAGAGGTAGCCTGCAAGTGGCGGCTCAGCTGGGACCAGAGCGCAGCCTCTGCAGGGCTGACCTTGTCGCCTCCTGCCAGAAGGACGGAGACTGTCAGCACCGACGGGCGAAAGGCAGGACAGACGTCGGATGTCAGGGCGTACAGGCAATGCTTCTGGAAAGCGGTCCAGGTTTCAAAGCGTCTTGCAGAGATATGAAGCCGGGGCTGCATATAGCAAAGGCCTTGAGGGTTGAGGACAGGTGCAGAGCTTGCTGAAACACAGCTGAAATCCCCACAGGGAGAATTTCATTTGCTACGTACCCCAAGCAGAGTTGCTGGGAAGGGACAGTGCCCTCACAGCCTCGCTGGTGAAGCTGGACGGCGCCAACAACTCATGCAGCTCCCGTGGAGAGCGCGTCAGGAGCACTAACCGTGCCCGCAGTGGCAGGACATTTTGTACCGCTCCCTGGCCCACCAAACAAGCTGTGCAGGTTTAGCATCGCATCCTCCAGCACAGCCTCCAGGACCAGTACATTCACTGGCTGTCCCTTACCTCCACGTCCCAGGCCTTTTCTGCCCTACCTTGCTAATGAGTGCTGAGAGACAAAGCAAATAGCCCGTCTGCTGTAAACAGCAAGAGGGCATTCTACTGCCAAAAGTAAGAAAGCAGGAAAATTCTGCCTAAGCGTAATTGTTTTCATTTATACAATGTGCTGAAACACCCACCTCCACAAACAGCTCTCCTGACCTGTGCTAGGGTTCAAGCATCGTTTAACACAGGTCCCCCCAACACCTGCACTCCAAAAACATTACAATATCCTCCAACACAACTATAAGTATTATATTCAAATTTTAAATCCACACACCTCTGGACATTCAGGAAATTGTTAACCCTAATTCACCACAAATCTGCTCCATCAAATCTATTCTCAATGCCTCCCTAAGATGGCAGCTTTGATTTCTTGCTATTTTTCATTAAATCTACCAATACATTTTTCATTCAATCAACAAAGGAAGCATCACAACAAAATATATATGTAATATACAGAAGCTGCACAGGACTGACACTATTACAACTTTAAGTCCTCAAAAAATTGAAATTCATATTGACTACCAAGAGAGCAAGACATTAGGTCTTATTGTCCGAAGTATTCATCAGACACATTAGAAGGCAGCCCAAACACTTGCACTTGGTAAGTCTGAAGAGCACACGAGTTTGTATGCATGAAGACCAATAAAAAGGTTCAAGGAGAAAAATTAAATCGGATGCGAGATGAACACACAGCATAGGTCATCTACAGGGAAGACTGTTCCTATCATGAATACAGGAAAACAAAGTAAAAAAAAAAGGCAACATTTGTGATTATGAGGGGGATGGAATAGTTTGTTTCTGAAAACCTCTGAGCAAACAAATAGGTGCTGTAGAACAAGTGAAAAAGAAAAGCATCGTGTATGACACTGGAAATACTCCTTTCACTGCTTTGCACTGGTACAGCCCCCCTGCAGCACTGTGCCCTTTCTGGGGCACTGAAACCCAAGAGCAGCATCGACCTCTGCACAGGGAACCAGTGGAGACCTGGGGAAGGTGGCCCACGCGGGACCACTGTGTCCCGTCCATGGTGGAGAGCAGGGGGATGTGGTCATGCTCCTCAGGTGGGCAAGCAGGGAGGCCAGGAGCAGGGCAGCAGCTCAGGCTGCAACAGGCTGCTCGGGGAGGCTGCGGAGCAGCACAGGTACTGCTGAGTCGGAGGATCTGCAGGATCATCCCTCAATGCTCTGACAACCCCAGGAAAAAGAACAAACGAGAAATCAGAACTGGGTAAAGCGACAGAAACAGTAGCAAGCAAGACAAATTCCAAGAAAACACAAAAATGTCATAGAGAAAACACAGAGACTGATTTCCCCTGGGTGCAACATGGCATGACGGCAGTCTTGCAGCACGCTTGTGCTGGGAAGCCCAGCCTCTAACTGCACAGCCTCCCATGTGCACTAGCACGCTAACAGCAGGAAATTACGGAAAGCCCTTTTCTATTCATACGTACACGGGGAGAAAGAGCAACTAACCTCAGTGAAGATACAGGGCTTTTCGGTGATAAATTCTGTTATCAGTCCAATCCGACCCCCATTTCAGCACTTCATTGCAGGCTGCAGCACGCGGCTGTCACTTCCACGGCCACAGGGACTGCAGCACGCAGGAGGATTTGGTGCATGCCAAGTCACCAGCCACACCAAATCGCCAGCAAAAGACAGAGGGTGATGAGAGCCACAGTTGAAGAAATTAACACCCCCCCACCAGCAACTCTCAAATCTACTGGGAAACTTTTTCAGTGCTTTGAAATAAGAAAGCAGACCAAGGCTTGGTTTCTGACACAAAGAGGTGGCCAACAAGTGTCACCAGCATAGATATTGATGATTCTTGGAAAAACTGCCAAGTTTGAAGGCAGAAGTCTGTTCAGAATGAAGGCTGTTTTTAAGCAGCACTGGAGGCAGGAGTTAACCTTTTGAGGGATAGCCTGACTTGAGAACAGTTATTTGACTCATGCAGGGTTTTGATTTATGAGATTTTTTCATAGCTTAAGTATAAACCTGAGTCAAAGTTCAGAGCTATTATTTTTACTGTATAAAAATAATAAACCAATGTCAACCAACCCCTCTGTAGTTGCTACAATTTCTTTTTTCTTTTCTTTGACTTTTAGCATAACTTTAAAGATAAATGCCAGGGCTTTTTTTGAGAAACTCTACATACCTCAGGTGACCATTTCCTATAAACTCTAGAGAAGTTAAGTACTTTCTGTGCATACGCTTAGACCTCAGTGAATCACCCAGGTGTAAATCCAAGATGCATGCTGTGCAGATGGAGAGGAGCAAATCAGCTCCAGTTGGTTCCTAAATGAAGACTGTATTTTTATGTGGCTTCTCAGTCATCTGATAAACCTTAAAGCCATAAGTGAACTCTAATGACATCTCATACAGGACTCAAACCCTAATTTTTTGTCAAGCTGCACATGCGTGCAAAGGGTCTGTCAGCAGAGGTGTAATGTGGAGAAAGCCTAGGCATCTCTTTCAGCTGACAGTCAGGGAATGAAGGAGAGAGCTGGGGCATTTGCAGGGAGGTCGAGAGGAAGGGGCGGGGGGGTACCAGAAGCACCTGGAGAAGGGGGAGCCATTACACGTGGTAGAGCTGGGGCAGACACCGTGCGGATGTAGGGATGAAGGACATCTACCCACCAAAAAGCGAGTCTCTGCTGGTCTGGCAGCTCATGGGACACCTTGTGAACCTTGGGCTTGCATCCCAGCATACCTGGGTG